TTCTGGTTGTTTTTTTTTGTTTCTAAATTTTTGTTGTTTTTAATTTGGTTGTGTGAGGAGGCACAGTATGTCTACCTACTCCTCCATCTTGGCCGGAAGTCCACATAGGAGGAATTTTAAATCAATCAATCAACAAAGTCAAACAGAAATATTCTCTCTGAGTCTCTGAGCCAGTGCAGTAAAAAGTTAGAGATGGAATTCAGATAATTAGGAATTCTGCAGACTTCTAGATTTATCCTTAATAAATGCTTAGTTCTTCATATGTTTTTGAAAGTCAACCAAAATTCAATTATATTTTTATGGTACTACAAGGGGATATTAAAACACATACTGAACTTGACCCATCTCCTCAATGTTTTTCACTTTTCTTGAATAATCAGGATAATCACAATAAGCTCAGGTATCTATTTACTGTGGCATTAGATAAGGGGAAGACAAAGCAAAAAATACACACACACAGTCTGAATTTCAAATCTGAAAGGAGTTTAAAGAGAGTTCACTTTAAAGTCAGTTCAATTTATAGAGAACTGAGGCCCAGAGAGGCTAAGTCATCTGTGTGAACTGGTTTACTTTTATATTCATTCATTTATTCATTCATAGAATATATTATTATTGAATACCTTCCCTATGCTGGATGCAAAGATAAAAGTCAGCAACCTTCAAAGCCTGAGACAGAGCTGGTCAGGAAAAGCAGCAGCACAAGGTAGCAGCTGAGTCTAGAATATGATGCTTTACCATTTTCCGATGGGAATACATTCAGCTATAGCCCAGATTTTCTCCAGTCTAATTTTGGATAGGAATCACCTGTATTGCTGGTTGGATCTAATAATGCCAAGCTCTGCCCTAACCTCCTGACTCTGAAAGTATAACAAAGGGACCTAGGACTCTAAATTCTTAACAAGTATCAGATGAATATAATCATGGGGCACACTAGCAGAGTTTCACCTGCTGGCCAAGCTCAGTGATCACCCACCGTTTACTGTCCTCTTTCAGTTCCTGGTAAGCTCCTGATCCAACTGGCATAAAAGTTTCATGTCTGACTTTTTAGGTAGGAGCCAATATCAGCATTTCTCAGTTCAGAGTCAGCAACAGAATTACCTACTGAGCTTTAAAAACAAATTGAAGAAGTCCTGGCCTTACTCAGACCACCTAATCAGAGTATGTCAAATTTAGGCCCAGACTTTCTTTGTTTAAAGTTCTACAGGGGATTCTGATGAGCAGCAGCTTTGAGGACACTGCCAATGGGGTTCTTTCAGAACTCTCAGGAAAGACCTTCCTGTACAATGAGGTAGGGGAGGCTCGGGAGTACTGTGGGAGCTCATGACATGTGGTGTCTCCATTATCATCATATGCAGTCTTTCCAGTCACGAACCTGCCCATCATCTCAGATTCAGGTAGAGGGGCAAATTCCACACAGTTGTTATAAAGCCAGCTTCTCTGGGACAGTGAGAGTCACAAATTTTCCATTGGGACAAAGAACAAAGGAACTGCTGAATCAATAATTGTCATGTTAGATTGTGTGTTCTCCACACCATTTTAGCATATCACAGCTCTGTACCTCCTGCCATCTCACCCACATGCCTTTGTACTTGTTTATGCAGTTGTCAGTGCAGTTGTCCTCACAGGATTGAGTTACGTTTAGCTGAGCCTCATCTTTTCTGTCCATGGACTTGGGACCCCATAGAGGGCAGGGAGTTTGTTCCCAAGCTAAGTCCCCAACATCTACACAGTTTTCAGATACACAGATGCTCAGTAAGTGTTATGCAATTGACATGGCCAGCTCTCAGTTCAGAGTTTTTCCCAACACCCCACAGGGCCTCTTATCTCTCACATGCATACAGTGATGGGCATCACATTCTGGAGGTAGAAGAAAATAGACATCCCAAAGTGGCATGTTCTTGCACCCTGACTTCTAGGGACCTCAAATCTCTCAAGACCAAATAATATGGGTGATTATGTGGTGTTCCTCTGGCAGCTCTAACGCATACCATCAAAGCCAACGGTCTTCTAGTTTTTATAATGTATGTTTTTCTCAAGGGTATCAGGAAATACTTTGATACTTTTCAAATAGACTCCAGGTCATGTTTTATTTTTATTTTCTGACCTGTGCTGAAATAAGGAATGAGTCTAAAAGCAGTAGAAAATATGCTGTCTCCTTGCAAGTAGATTCCTATGACACTACTAAAAAAATGCATAGCAAGCTTCATGCTAATAGCTTTTAGTTATGCTTGCCTAATGACGCCCAAGTTCTTACAGATTTATTATGAGCCCTCTTTGCTTCCTCTTTATTACTCTGCTATCATTTTTTGTTAGTAATTAGTAATGCTTTGAATTCAACGTATAACTTGACAAGTAACTTAAACAATCGTAGAGTTCTTTTCTCAACAAAGTCAAGATTATTCCCATATCATTTATCATAGCTTTGCTGTTTCTCTGTATTTTATTTTGCTTTCTTAAACTATATGATGGGGTTGTATTTTGGTGTTCTTGGATGAATTATAACTGGTATTGGTACTTGGTTGCGCATGCCATACAGGCTGGGCATTTTGTGTTTCTCAAGTATATCTTTCATAGTACTAAAAGTCATTTTTTGGTGGAGTAAGAAAATAGAGCACATGTGACTACTTAAGTAAATATTGATGGAATAACTGAGTATTTAGTATCTTCATATTGGCTAAATCTAGCAGCTTAAATTTTTGCTTTTTTGTTTGTTTTTCTCTTTTAAGACCATTTTCTGAATAAATTTTCTATTGTTCTGCATTTGTAACAGAACCTCAGTGACTTCACTCAGGCTCCCCTAGGCCATGTCGATGACTTCATGTGTCTTCCAGCAACCACACCCACAGTTCTTCAATCTCCCTCTGTTTTTAATGCATAGCTATCAAATGCATACTCAGTATGTGCTCTGAGGCATATGAATTTTAAAATGCAATAATCCATTAGCAAAAGAAAAGGTTTAGTTTAATGTATCCCTACAAATAAAGACAGCATTCCCTCTTTATCTCTTTTCAGCCGAAACATGACATCATTGTGAAGTACAGGTGCAGAGTCCTGAAGTCACTCTGTCTTTGGTTACTACAGAAAGGCAGTTTATTAACTAAAGCCCAAGAATAGAGTACATTTCTTCTATTACCCATTTATTAAGTTAACAAGCTAAGTAATAACTATCTTTTTTTCTTAATATGCAGCAGTTTCGCACATTTAGCAGTATTATTCCTGGAACAGATGTGTCTTTTCAAAGTCATCTTTCTTTCCTATGAACATAGAATTTCTTCTTAATTGTATGCTTGTTAGCTGCAACTGCTTCAAAAGGTGTTTCTGAACACACCACTGAGATTGCTCCATACTGAGAGCCAAGTGACATGAAAACCACAATATCATCAAGAATGTGAACAGCCAGCTCCCACAACAAGCACCCAATTAGCTCGTATTCTTTGGCTAAATATACTCAGCAGCCAATGCAGTCATCCCAGGGCTTTGATTTCATAACCCTCAGAAATACCTGGGAGTCATTTGAATGTGGCAGTATTAGAACTACAAAAAGATAAGCAGGAAGCACTTCTCATTCAGTCAGCAAACTGTAGAGTTTGGCAGCAAAACACTGAAGGCTGTACCAAACTCCCTCCATGTTACCATTTTGAATAACTAAGGACTTTAACCAGTATTTTACTCAGCACTTTCCTTTATCAATAAAAAGCACTCACAAAGAATCAATATCTAAAGCGCATTGGGCAACTACTATTACTTGTATGGTTTCCTCAGTGCTAAGTGTTAACACAGAACACCTTGCTCCTATACTTTTGAAAGGCACAGATGGAAGTCTGCAACCAAACTGATATGACCTTTTTTCATATAAAAAGTATAATGAGTTCTTGGGTCACCTTCAAAATATGGTTAGGTTCTTTTCCTGGAGTAGAGTTACTCTGGGATCAAGTGACTGAAAAAGCAGGGAGAGGAAATACAATGATTGCTCAGCAGGAATAATGTTGTGCTGTTGTCCCGGCCTGCCTCTCTGCCCATAGCAAGGTCATGGACATTCAGCATGAGTCCAGTGGTTCTTCAGCAGCAATGACAGGCATGATCCTGGCACCCATGGCGTTTGTCTGACAGCTGCATGTGCTTCAGCCAGCGCTCAGCAAGTGATCTGCCTGGTTCAGCTCTGCAGAGGAAGGCTTGCCCTGCAATTTGTCACTGAGTCATGAGGTCAAGTAAAAGTTCCACTGATGTCTTTAAATAGTCTTGGCTCCAGCAAGCCAACATGGGTGAGGATAGTGGAGTGTGTCTGTGTGTGCCTGGCAGGGAGAGCAGGTCTCAGTTGCTGCTGGAGGGGGAATTTAAGAGGGACTTCAGCTGCTGCCCAGCGACACTGGTAAGATCTCTTGCAATGGTCTGACCATGAGAGAGCTCAGGCACAAATGTGCTGATGAAACTGTGGTATCTGATGATAACAGTAGGAATTAGCTTTCGTTTTTTATGAGTAGAAAATTTGACTATGAAGTCTGTTTGGAAGATCACCTGTCTTATTAATAAATTATATGGATCCCCTTTAAATGGGTCTTAGAAGGTGGCAGCTCCATACAAAAACTGGCCATGGTCAGAACCCACTGCCCCAGCGCTTTGCTGTTCTTCTCCACATGGGGCAAAGGGAGGTGGAGGAATTAGGGCATGATGGATGCAGTGAATAAGAGTTTGGCTTATTTCTCCCAGTCCTGTTCTTTGGTTACTGTTCTTTGTTTATTGAGACACTGGGGCTCCATCAAGTCAACACCACCCAGTGTGTCACCCTTACTCCAGCCCATCACTTACATTTCTCTTGAGAGGGATCACAACTTTGCTGCAGACTATAGGAACCCGTGTGGGCTTCTGTCCCTTCACCACATTGTGAGCTTCTTGGTGGAAGAAGGGCTTTATTCCCCTCAGGTTCCCAGCCCAGTGTAACAAAGAGAAGATACTAACAGATATAAGTTTAACTGAATTAAGTCAAGAGTATTTGGAAGTTAGACAAGTCTTGGCAGCAAACCCAAATTCTGTCTTGATATTGCATTGTTAGCTTTATTCTGCAGACAAAAGAGCCAAGACACCCAAACAATTGGCTCTCTATTGATCTGTAGGTGCTGTATACTCTTCACTGCTACCTTTTCATTCTAATTCTTTAATTCTTAATGAATAGTAATGTCTTAGGAGCTCTTGAAACAGTAACATCCAATGACCTTTGTGACAGAAACTCTGAAATCGGCACATTTAACTAACAGCTGTGTACTTTTATAATTAAAAAAAATAAATTTAATACTTTACAGCGTTTTGGCCCAAAAGCTTTTAAGTGTCAGTAGAGTCATTTTTAAAATGTCCATATGTGAAAGCCAAGTGGCAAATATTAGTCTTCTCTGAATGTTAGGAAGGTAATTAGTTTCATGTTATTAGCTTTAAGGCTTGTCCATACCTTACCTCCTCTTTCCTGCCTTTTGGCCATTGTTTTTATCAATTTCTATCTCATCCCTGGGAAGGCAGACCCAGTCTGGGGAGAAGTGAAGTTAGAAGGATGCCAAACACTGGCTGGCGTCTTTAGAAAAGCTCAGGGATGCGACTGTGGGTGCAAGAGAACTGGGAAGAAGGCTGCAACTGCACATTAAAATTGGTTTGCATTTATTATCTGAAAGCTATCTCACTCACCACCACCACACGTACACATGAGCAGCCTGCTTGTTACTCTCCAGTCATTTTAGAGACATATTTCCTGTGACTGTCCCCCAGAACTTGAGGGAAAAGCTCTGGCTGATTTGGTCATCACCAGGGAAGCAGGGCTTCAGGTTGCTCTTTGGTCCCAAGTAATGCTTGCTCAAGGCTGATGCAGGAGCATGTCCTGGTGTTGCTACCTGGCTACAAGTTGCCAATTCAGAGGTTGAAACCAGATGTTGCCAACACCTCATACCACACTTGGCACATGCTTAGTAAATATTTAAGTTTTGAATTCCATTGAATCAGACCTGCTGACCAGCAATTATTTCTCTTTGGAGAAAACCAAAGTCCTATTTCAATTTATGTTTAAAGTGAGACAAACATGATATTCTGGGGGTTATTAGAAACATACAAAGTTAAAAGCAAACACCTCTCTAGAATGGCATTCAACTACAACTTAGCAAATACTAACATGAGCCTTGACCAACACGAACAGTAAGAGGAGAAAGCTTAGACTAAAGAAGTACCCAGTCGATGGAGTCTCAGTGAGCTGGCTACTGTCCCTGCATCCAGTGGCCATGTCAGTTGTGTTTTTTGTCCTTCAAGTAGCTGACAAGCATCTCCAGGCCCCCTTCTACCAGCTCCGGCAGAGGCTTAGATAAAGGGTTATAGGAAATATGGAGCCCTTTGTCCATTGGATTCCAAGCAATCTTTGCCAGTCTACACAGCAGGTAGAGTTCATCAGGGAGGGTCTGGATATCATTGTTGTTCAGGTTCAGCAGCTCCAGGCTGGTGAGGAGGCAGAGTGACCGTGGGAAGGAGTGGATGTTGTTGTTCTCGGCGATGAAGATCTGCAGGCTGCTCAGGCACTGGATGCTCTCAGCGATGTTTTCCAGGCGATTGGAGCCCACATGCAAGAAATCTAGCTCTTTCAGTGCAAACACACAGATGGGGATGTGAGCAAAACAGTTGTTGCTGAGGTTCAGCTTCCTCAGCCTGGAGAGGTCTGCGAAGCTGGCAGGCAGCTGGGAAAGATGGTTGTGCGACAAACTCAGGACTTCCAGGTTCCTGCAGGCACTCAGCTCGGCCGGCACCTCGGCCAGGCAGTTCATGTTGATGAACAGCACCTTCAGGCCCTTGAGGAGGCTGATTTCTTGGGGCAGGCTCTTCAGGCAGTTCCCACACAAGTTCAGGACCACCAGCCTGGTCAGCCTCCCCACCTCAGGGGGCAGAACCCTGAGCTGGTTGTGAGACAGATTGAGTTTCTGGACCTCAGACAAGCCCCACAGAAAGTCAGGGATGTCTGTCATTCCCTTGGTGACCAGGCTGAAGCTGATGTGGCACATGCCCCGCTTTAGCAGGGACCGGGGGTCCTTTCCTGAGAGCAGGGCATCATCCCACGGGGAGAACTTCTGCCTTTTCCGCAGGAGCGCCATGCCCCTGAGGCCCTTGTCCTTGGAACAGGCACTTGACTGCCTGGCCCCCATTACTATCCTTTCCACCCTCGCTCCCCTCTTGCCCAAAGGTTGGGATGTGTCCTACCCCAGCTGCTAAAAGCCTGGCTGTTCCAGGCAGGGAGTGCAGATGGAGGTGAGAACAGGATAGTGGCCAGGCAGTCCAGGGTACAGAGGAAGATCAGAGAGGGTCTGGATCAGATGGCCAAGTCACGCTGCGGTGGCTGTGGACAGGCAGTGGATTTAGGTGGTTTCTCTCTGAGCAGCCGGGCTGTAATGATATACTTGTCTCTGTGGCTGCGGAACTGAACCACTTGAATCCCTCTGTTTGCTACAAGACAGCTGTCACTGTCATTCTACCCAGTTTATCAGGCTGGTGTGTGCAAACAGGTCACCAGGAGGCTTTATTTTACTGTCCCCTCTTAGCTTTTCTTGGGTACTGCAGCTGAGCAGCATGATTAACAAACCCATCTCCAAAAAGAAGCAAACTGCACAAATAATCAGGCCGTTAGAGTGTCTGTCTATGTGGTTGCCGGGACTCATCTGGACTCTAGAGTGAAGCTGGACTAAGGCCTGCTGATTGACAGTTTTTGTTTCCAAAGCTAAGGGTCGTCAGATGATATTATACACACTCATTTCAAACTTTTTATGTAGTTGTGAAAAATGAACAGAAGTAGCCTGAACACCTGGAATACTCCAGGCCAAAGGTTTTTACATGGTGCTTGTCAGAGATGACTCAGTGAGGAGAGAATGAAGGGGGTCTGGACCCCCTCTCTCATTTCAACCACAGAAGCTCTGGGGTCCTCTGTTTCACAGGGGTATTTTGAGTTTAGCAGATGTACTTTAAATGTTTGAACAGCCTCTTAAGTGGCTGCCTTAGAAAGGTACACACAGGGTGCCCACTGTTCTAAAAAATCAGCAGAGAGAGACCTCCCTGAACATACACCTCTCTCTCTTTCCCTCTCCCTCCCTATCTGCCCTACCTTTTTAAATTAAAAAAAGGTAACATATGTTACATAAATATAGATAATGGTTGGTGTTATGTGCTGAATTGTGTCTCCTCCAAAATATCAAATGTTGAAGTCCTAATCCCTAGCACCTCAGAATGTGACTGCTTGGAGATTGGGCCCTGTGTACACAGGTCTCAGAAGAAGCCAAACTTGCTGACACCTTCATCTGGCCTTGTACCTTCCAGACTTATGAGAAAAACAAATTTCTATTCTTTAAGCCACCCTGTCTGTGGTACTTTTGTTGCAGTAGCCCTGATACAGCCAGGAGGAGACAGACACACTACATAGGTAAAACCTATAAAAATAGGCAGTGAGTCACTGATATGTCCCCTAAAGCAAGGGACATAAAAAAGAGAATAAACAAATGGGACCTCATCAAATTAAAAAGTTTCTGCATGGCTAAAGAAAACACCATTAAAATGAAAAAGGAACTGACTGTATGGGAGAACATACTTACAAATGATATATCAGACAAGGGTTTAATATCTAAAATATATAAAGAACTCATATGACTCCACTCCAGGAAGACAAAAACCCCAATTAAAAAATGGGCAAAAGACTTGAACAGACACTTCTTCAAGGAGGACATACAGAAGGCCCAGAGACACATGAAAAGATGCTCAGCATCACTAGCCATCAGAGAGATGCAAATTAAAACCACAATGAGATACCACTTCACACCTGTCAGAATGGACATCATAAACAAATCACCAAACAAGTGCTGCTGAGGATGCAGAGAAAAGGGAACCCTAGTGCACTGTTGGTGGGAATGCAGACAGGTGCAGACACTATGAAAAACAGTGTGGAATTTCCTCAGAAAACTAAAAATGGAACTGCCTTTTGACCCAGGAATTCCACTGCTGGAATTATGCCCTAAGACCCCTGAAACACCAATCCAAAAAAACCCTATGCACCCCAATGTTCACAGCAGCACAATTTACAATAGCCAAGTGCTGGAAGCAACCTAAGTGCCCATCAGTAAAAGAGTGGATCAAAAAACTGTGGTACATTTACACAATGGAATTCTACTCAGCAGAGAGAAAGAAGGAACTTATATCCTTTGGGACAGCATGGGTGGCACTGGAGAGCATTATGCTAAGCGAAATAAGCCAGACTGTGAGGGACAAATACCATATGATCTCACCTTTAACTGGAACATAATCAACAAAAGAAAAAAGCAAATAAAATATAACCAGAGACATTGAAATTAAGAACAATCTAACAATAGCCAGAGGGGAGGGGGAGGAGACAGAAGGGAGAAGGGTTTTCAGGAACTATGATAAAGGATACATGGACAAAACCAAGAAGGAGGATGGAAGCAAGGGAGGGAGGTGTGTTTGGCTGAAGTTGGGGGGAGGGGGGCAGAAAATGCAGACAACTGTAATTGAACAACAATAAAGTAATTTTTTAAAAAATGGGCAGTGCTTAAGGGGAGAAGCACTATCAGAGTCGATGACCCAGGTTCTGAGGAAAGGGCGTGCAGTCTAGCGAAGGCCAGGTAGGCTGGCAAGCTGGTGGCTTTTGCTGGCAGCAGCCCGTGTGCGCAGCCCCCCACAGCACTTGTGTGTCCTGGAGAGCGATGCTGGCCCTATGATCAAGGTCTCAGAGCTCCAATCACTGACTCAGAAGCTTGAGCTGGGCCCTGACTGGGCATGGCAGTGTCTGGGCAGGAGCAGCAGCAGGAGGTGTAAAGCAGTGCGAGGCCTTTTCTCACTCCACTTGGCATTTGAAAGAGACCTGGCCCCTTTTGACTGAGTAAGCCCCTGGGAATCTTGGACAAAGGTGCTGACTTTGGAGTTTGTTTTTTAATGGAATACTTGAGTGTTCTATTAATGAAAGGGAAAAAAGTAATGTGGCTAAATTTGTACCAGAAATTTTAGGAGCAAACAATACCTTATATATGCATATAGCAGCAGGGTTCTGCTGTTTTATTAAAAAGTCAGCGACGCTTCTTCTTTCCCTATTTTTTTTTCATGAGCATGAGAAATTATGCTAGTGTTCCTGAAATGTGGGGAAAAGCAGGAACTAGGATGGTGTGAACAAGAATCAACAGCTTTCTTCTTTGTGGTAATTCTCTTTTCCTCTTAACACATTTTCCCCAATAACAAATTTTTGAGCATTTATCAATAGCCAACCTTTATTGAATGTTTACTGTGGGAAAGGCATTGCACTAGGCACTTTACATGCAGGATAGAAGTAACAAAATTATCTTTATTTCACAGATGAGGAAGATAGCAAGAGCTCAAGTAACACAAGACCAAGTCATTTGCCCAAGTCTAAGTACCCAGTCAATAGCAGAAACAGAATGCAAACACAGTTAGTCAGACTCCACAGCCCACTGAAACTGTACAGGGACTCTGGGCTTAGCCCAGAAAATGAAATAACTATGGCTAGATTATGTACTTTTCTTTTCAAGTTTCTAAGGGCTAGGTTTGGAGAGAACATAGACAAAGAAATGACTACATAATTACATGCATAGAAATAACTACATAATTAGGCATTAACCCTGTTTTCTCTTCCCCACACAACTAGGAAGAGCAAAAGTTAAAATATCCTTCCAGAAGACTTTGACGTAATGGATTTAATCCCCTCCAAAAATAGTTCAGTTCTTCTCTAGCCAGATTCTCATATATCAAATGCATGAGCTGTATGAATAGCTGACTTTATTTCTTTTAATTTTTTGAAATGTAAATACTGCCCACTTAGGTAACCATGGTGATGCAGTCAGAGCATGAGTTGGTGGTGGACTCTCAGTCCCTGTCCTCATCTATGAAATAGGCCCCCCAGAGGGGTGATTTCCTAGAGCCCCTGCTCAGTCTGAGAGTTGGATTCTCAGCACTGTAGGGACATCTAAGTCACATTTAACCTCTTTTCCAGTGAAAGAATTCAAAATCCAAGGCAGCTTTTATTTTGCTTACAATGATATATTGGTCCCTGGGGAATAAACAGTAACAGAGCTCCCTCCCTCCCTCCCTTCCTCCCTCCTTCCTTCCTGCCCTTCTGTCCTTCCTTCCTCCTTTCCTCCCTTCCTCCTTTTTTAAATACACTTATTTAAAAGAAAAAAAACAGTAACAGGGAATGCTGTCAGCTTTACGATTCACTAAGGAGACCACACATCTGACTTTTGCTGAAAGAGACTTTTCAAGACTCTCTGAATCAATTTCAGTTTGGAATACGTCTCAGAATGAGGCATTGTTGAACAAAATTTTGAAAATCTAAGCCCTGGCTGGCGTAGCTCAGTGGATTGAGCAGGGGCTGTGAACCAAAGTGTCACAGGTTCGATTCCCAGCCAGGGCACATGCCTGGGTTTCAGGCCACATGTCTGGTTGCAGGGCACATGCCTGGGTTGCAGGCCAGCAACCACACATTGATGTTTCTCTCTCTCTCTCTCTATCTCCCTCCCGACTCTCTCTAAAAATTAAAAAAATAAAAATAAATAAATAAATAAAAAGAAAATCTAAGACTAGGTAAGTTCTGTGGCTGTCTTTGAAACCTAAGGAAGTTATATAATAATTGAATGTATTTAGTATGCTCAATGTATTCGTATTTATTATACTTTTATATATTCCAATTAAACATATGTTTATTGAACACATAAATGAACAATTGACATTTATTATTTTTAATCCTAAATAAAATAAAACTGAAGTGATGAGAGAATAAAACAGTAGTATATGAAAACATCCAAAGCTACTCCTGAATTCACACTAATGAAAATACGTATTGAAAACAATTCTTTTTGTCCTCTGGATGGCTTTTCAGCTTAACAGATATGTTGTGTCTGTTAATTTTGGAAAAAAGAAACGTGTATGTTTAAATAATTTATTAAAATAACCATTTTACTGAGTTATAATTTTTAAATAGAAATTATAGAAAAGTATGAAGCAAGACAATCCAGTTTACATTTTGCATGTGCAAATCTAGATCTTTATCCTATGCATATCTTCTTCAATGTATTTTCTCCCCCGCCCCCCCTCCAAAACACAAAAAAATAAAAACAAAACAAACAATTTCCTTCTGTTGTCATAGCCCAGGTTTCCTCTAAAGCAGAGCTTGAGAAAAAAGTTATGGGGTGACCCCCAGGCAAGCAAAGTAAGGGGGCCTGGGAAAGCAGGCAAGTGAAGAGAGCAGACAGGAGCCATGCATTCTGAGCTGCCTCATCTTTGCATCAAGCACAGTTGCTAGGTTTCATGGCATCTGCAGAGAGGCTGTATGAAAACACCATGTCTCAGGACAGCCCATGGTTA